AGGCGTGGGCATCTGTGGGCGGTCTCGGGCAGTGTCCAGTTTGAGGTGAGTGAGCGAAAGCAAGGGCCGAACAAGTTGCCAGAAGTAATCGCTGAGCAAAATTAAACACCAATCTTTTCCGCAAGAGGGCGAGCGCGCCACGCACTCTGGTTGCATCAGTCTGTGTGTGGGGTGGCCGTCGGCGTCACACCGTCATCCGTCACTCGTTTGTGGTCGTCTCCGGCGATGCCTCGCTCGCGTGCTCGCCCGGGTCGTCGTCGTCGTCGTCGTCGTCGCTCGCGGCGAGCCAGTCGAAGAAGGGCCTCGCGTGCGTCACGAAGGGGAGCGCGTGGTCGACGCGCCCCTGCAGCTCGGCGTGCGCGCGCTTGGACGCCTCCAGCTCCGCCTTTTTGGCGACCAGCGTCTTGTCGCGCGCCGCGGTGATGTTTTGCGCGGCGCCGTGCAGGTCGACCGCCTTCTTCATCGCCGCGTTGGCCGCCTTCTCCGCGATCTCGTCCTCCTTGCTCGGATTCCCGCCGCAGCGCGCCTGCTGCGCGTACCACTCGGCGTCCCTGCGCTTCGCCATCGCCTCAGCGTGCTGCGACTCGGCCGCCTTGGCCGCCTTGGCCGCGGCCGCCTCCTCGACCTCCGCCTCGGCGAGCGCCTGGTTGAGGCCAGAGGTGAGGTGAGGCTTCTCCCCACACAGCTGGCGGGGTTGGCTCACTCCCCCAAACAGCGTGCGGGCGGGGCGGGCCAAGCTCTCCCCCCACACAGCCGGCGAGGGGGCGAGGGCGGGCCGTGGGGAGCGCGCCTCTTTGGCGGCGAGGAGGGAGGTGGCGTCCCGCTGCGCGCTCGCGCCAACCAGCGCCCAGAACTCGTGCAGCACCCCCTCGCTCGCGAGGTCGAGGTCGTACAGCACCTCGATCACCTTTGCCGCGCCTGGCAGGGCGACGGCCCCGTTTGCGCTGAGCAGCCACGCCTGCGCCGCGCGCAGCAGCGCCAGCTGCGCGGCCGGCCCGTCGCACGCCGCCGCCAGGCTTACCTTGTTGGCCCGGATCACCTTGCGCGCCTCGGCGGCAGTGCAGGGCGGCACGTCGACCACCTTGGTGACCTTTGCGCCGCCGCCCGCCTTTGGCTTCCCGGCAGGCTTTTTCGGCTTCTTGTCGTCCCCGTCCGTCTTGTGCGGGACGCGGCGGAGGATCGTGTTGAGAGTGATCGCCATGGCGGCATGACCACTTAGCTCGCCAAACTTCTTGTCCGCAGACAGGTCTTTCGCCTTTGCCGGCAGCTCACGCAAATCGAGTGCGGCGAGAGTGACTGCGAGTCGCTGAGCCTCCGCCTGCATCTTCTCGTGCGCCTTGATCTCGCGCTCCGCACGGAGAGACTCGAGGAGCGCTGCCTCGGCCGCTGGCGCGAGCTTCGGGTTGTCGCCGTGGCGCATCATCGCGCTGTACAATTGTAAACACGCGCCGAGTCAGCCTGTTGTGAGGGGAGGGAAAATTCTTTTTTTCGCTCACTGCCAGGCATTTGCTGTGGCGTCCTTGCAGCTGCTGCGAGCGCATCGCGGTCAGACACCGCCGGCTGCTGAATGGCGCTCGATGCCGCAGCTGCGGACGGAGTGGTGGCTGTGTCGGCATTGCAAGGACGCTGTCAACCACCACAACTCGGCCTCTCGGCCACAACCTGCAGCAGATGTGCGTCGAGCGTCAGGGAGATGACGCCATCATATGCAGGGCCCTTTCAACCAACGCACAGCGCACCGAGTATGGTCGGAAGCTGAAAAGTGTGTACGTCACGTCACGTGAAACCCCGCTGCTGGGACCCGGACGCCAGCACACACCCGCTAAGTGTGCAGGTACGAGAGCAGCTTATCGCCCTGGCTGTTGCGCAGCAGACGCTGGGCAGCGCTGGTCAGCGCCGTCCTTGCCCAGCTTGCGAGCTTTCAGCCTGGGTCGAAGCGGCTGGAGGCTGCTTTGAGCCCTGTTCACGCGCGCGCGAGACGTGCAGACAGGGTTGCCAGGTCCCAGGTGAGAGCGAATGGCGCGGTTCACGCTTCGCACAACAGAGAGAGAGAGATGCGCTCTGCATGGTGGGATAAGTTGTTTGCGTTTATGTGAATGAGCTTGCCTGCGGCAAGGGCGGTCGAGTGCACGGAGCTAAGTGCCTCGCCGTCCTCGCAGGAGTCGCGTAGAGCGGCCGCACTCTGCTCGCTACCCCCCCTGCACAACTAAGCTCATCCCTGCTGCTAGGGGGGGGGTCTGACCCCCCCAGCAGCAGAGCGCTCCTGCTGGGGGGGGGTCCCGACCCCCCCAGCAGCAGAGCGCTCCTGCTGGGGGGGGTCCCGACCCCCCCAGCAGCAGAGCGCACTGGACCCAGCTCTCCCGCCTCCTCGCCGCCGCCCCCCCCTCTCCGCCCTCAGTTCGTGTTTAAGCGGTACTCGTACGCTCGAGGCGGTTGTGTTCGCCGCGCCTTCGAGCCCAATACACCTTCGTCGTGTCGAGTGCTGGCAACGTTTACTCGGCAGTGTCGCAGTGTCGAGCAACACTCGGTGTCAGAGCGTCGCGCCTCCATCAGTAGTCTCATCACCGAGTGATTGCTGGCCTGTGGCGGATATCATGACCTCGCGCGGATATCACCAACGACGAGCATGCGAAGATAGGGAACAATATCTTGTACAGCCCGCTGTGCTCCCCGCTGTGCCACGGCGTACGATGGGCTGCGAGAGCCGTATCTTCCCTCCTTGAAGCAGAGGAGCCGCGAGGCACGAGAGGCGTAGAAGAGAGGCTGGCGTGCCCCGCACCTCCCGGTTGGCAGTAGGAGGGCCCGCCGGTGAGACCACTGATTTTGATGCCGACTATAAACTCTCGCCATTGGAACGCATGCTACTTACAGCTGCTGTCTGTACAGAGATGCCAGCACCCCCCACAGGCAGAGCGCTCCTGCTGGGGGGGGGGGTCCGGACCCCCCCAGCAGCAGAGGGCTGCTGCTGGGGGGGGTCCCGACCCCCCCAGCAGCAGAGCGCTGCTGCTGGGGGGGGGGGTCGGCCATTGTGGTGTTCTGGCCCTGCTCGTCGCCGTGGCCCAGCTTGCCATAGTCTCCACCGCCCCAGCTCCAGACGGCGCCGTCGGCGGTGAGGGCGAGGCTGTGGTGCTGTGCAGCGCCGACATAGCGACCACGCGTTGGTCAGCAAAGGCCTCGACCTTCTTCGGCAGCAGCCGGCTCTGCTGGTCGCCGTGGCCCAACATGCCATTGGCTCCCAAGCCCCCCAGCTCCAGACAGCACCGCTGGCAGTGATGGCGATGCTGTGATCGTGTCCTGCCTAGACAGCGACGACGCGCTGCTCTGCCAAGGCCTCGACACCTTCTTGGGCAGCAGCTGGTGCTGCTCGACGCCGTGGCCCAACCGGCCGTTGTATCGCCATAGCCCCAGCTCCAAACGGCGCCGTCGGCGGCGAGGGCGGGAGGGCGAGGCTGTGGAAATCTCCAGCCGACACGCTCACGACGCGCTCTCCCAGCGTCGACGGGAGCCAGGTCGGCTTGTTCAGCCGCCTCACGCCCTCGCCGTGCCCGAGCAGCGCTGGATTTCAGTCCGGCGCCCTCTGCCGCACGTCGAGAGCCTCCCCTCGCCGTCGATGAAGACGCTGTGGAACATGCCGCCTGCCGCCAGCCTCGCCGGCGGGTTGGACTCGCGCAGCAGCGCCGAATAGCACAGCCACCGCACGGCGCAGCTCTCGCCCTCTGGCTGCGCTGGCAGCTCGAAGCCGCGCTCTTGCGCCCGCAAGCGGATGCCCTCTACCGCAAGCGAGGCGTGAAAGAGCAGCAAGACGGCCGCGGCGCGAGCGATGTCGACGGGGTCGCAGCGAGAGACGACGCGCACGAGGAGGTCGGTGGGGAGGTCGAGGAGGCTGGCGGGCGGCGGCGTGTCTGGCGAGGGAGCGGCGGCGGCGGCGGGGGCGAGGCGGCGCGAGCGGCGGCGCGGGGCAGATGGCGCGCACTGGCACTAACACAGGTACACCACGGGAGCCGCCTGGCACTCCTGCGAGGACGGCGAGGCACTTAGCTCCGTGCACTCGACCGCCCTCGCCGCAGGCAAGCTCAGGGGGGAGCGAGTCGACTGAGCGAGTTGCGAGGACTCTCGGTGTGCGCGTGAGGGTGTTCGCGCTGTTCCTGCTGCGGGGGGGTGCGCTCTCACGCATGAGACACAAAATGTCGCGGTCAATCAATGTGGACAATGCACATACACATCGCTCCAGGGGAGCACATGTGCATGTGCATGTGCATGTTGTCGCATGCCACGGACATGCACATGCATGTGCATGGACATGTGTGCGCGCGTGGGGGGCGCCTGCGCGCAGCGCGCGGGCCCCCCGCCGCCCGCGCTGCCGCGTGCCGGCCCGCTGGCCGGCTGGCCGCTCTCGAGTCTCGTGCGTCGTGGCGCGGCGCGGCGCGCGGGTAAAAAGCCGTGAAATGCTGATGTGTGTAGCAATGGCGAGTCGACCATGTGGCTGGCGCCGCCCCGGGGCCTCCCCGCCGCTCCCCTGGAGCGAGGCCGCTTTCCAGCTGGAAACGCACACCTCGATATATAATCTCCCAGGGAGATTTCGATAAAACCACACCGATATATACTTGAAAAATCGCGCTAGCCGTTTAGCGGCGAGCGGGCCGCCTCGCCGCTCTCGGCTGCGTGCAGCCACTTTCCAAGCCTGCGGTTGATCGGCGGCGGCACCAGCAGCAGCGGGCTCGGCACCGCCCTCGTGTACTTGATCCACGCCTCGCCCTTGCTCCCGCGCTGCCGATCCTCCATGAGCTTGATGGACACACACACAAAGAGGAAGGTCATTGAGACCGGCCTACACACTCGGCACCCCTCGCGTCATCTCGGGAAATCTCGTGTCCGAAGAGGGTGGCCATTGGAGCTGACCCGACGACGACCCAACCCGGAGCCGCCGCCGGCACGCCTAGGGCGAGGCAGTGGGGAGCTGAGGGTTTGGTCGTGCGTGGGTCGAGCGCTGCGGGCTCGCCCAAGAGGTAGAGGCCCCACCACCAGGTCAGCTCACCTACACGACATGCACCGGTGTACCAGTGACGGAGACGCCCACCAGGCTGCAGCCCACCCGAAGCTGCAAAGACCCAGGTAGTTTGGGTGGCGCGACCACATCCAGAGCCCGCGGTCGATGACCGTCGCGTCGGTGCGGTGCTCCCTGCGCGCGGCGACGAAGGCGTCCATCTGCAGGTCGGACGCGGCCTCGAGGAGCACGGCGCCGAAGCAGACGGCAGCGCCCGCGGCGTCGGTGGCGGTGAGCGGCTCTGGCGCGCACAGGACGCCGTACAGGGACAAGCAGGCGCTGAAGAGGAAGGCTGCTTGACCGAGGAAGACGGAGAAGAGCGAGGCCCACCAAAAGTGGCGGCCAAAAGTTCGGCGCATGTCCGAGTACCGCCAGTCCTCGTGCCCCACGCCGCCACGCGACACGAAGTTGTGCGTCAGCCGGAAGCCCCACGTTGCGACCAGCGTGCACCCGACGATCCTCCGCTCGCACACGCCGGTGTCAGGCTCGCGGACAATGATGAGCAGGCAGAGCAGTGGCGGGAAGCACGACCAGATGAAGTCGACCGGCCACGTCTTGCCGAGGCCGAGAGACGCCAGCCAGAACGCAAGGTTGATGCCGCCGAGGGTGATGGCGTCCTGCTCCAAGCCGTGGTCGGTTGGGCTCGTCATCGTGGCTCCCGATAGGAAGGCGAAACACAGCAGTGACCAACGGTTTGTTTGCCGCCCGACTTTTTGCGCACGCCGGCGTTGGCCGAGTTTTCGGGGACACCCTGCGCGGTATCGCTCCCGTGCACGGCTTGCAGCCGGGCCCCTCGAAGCGAGCGTGAAATTTTCTCTTTCTGCTAATATTGCACCAAAAGGATGCAATGAAATCGGCCCAGAGCGGTGGTTGAGGCCGATTGCCTCAACTGTCAACCACGTGGTTGACAGAGGCCTCAACCCTCAACCAAGTGGTTGACAGACCCCTTCAACCCCTCAACCACGCGGAATGAATGGCTGTCCACACACACCCCCGCGCAAAGGTCTGAATGAACACATTCTCTGTGAACCATTCATGTCGTCTTCTTTAGTACTTTAGACGCCTGGATGCTGCATTTGACGCGCCGTTTTTACGAGTACTTGCTTCAGCTACGTGCGTGAATGGGAGGTGTGATTCAAAGCCCGGAGGAGCGCTGACAGCCATCGAAGGCCCGCCCCCGCGCAGGGGGGGTCCCGGCCCCTCCGTCTCCGGAGACATTACCGAACTCAAAACTGCTTACCAAAGGCAGATACGAGCTCAGTCAGCTCAGTGAGATCTAGCAGCACATACAATCGGAATTCTCACTTTGGGACACGGGTGGTGGTGGTCCTCGGGTGGTGTTGGGAGTTTGGCTGTCAGCCGCTCGATTTCTGCGATTTGTGCGAAGCGCGCGATTTCTGCGCGGAGCTCGCCGTGGCCCCGCGCGGCCGTACCTACTCGCGTTTTCGGCCCACCACCCTCGACCGAGCTCACCACCATCGCGTACGCACGTTTTATCGTGTGCGCGACGCGCTCGATCACCACCGCGGTGGCGACAAGAGCGCCTTTTCAACACGCTGCGATGGCGGTGTGCAGCACCAGCCGTCACGGCTTCCTGCGCCGCGTCGAGGCTCGCCGAGCGGGAACGTAGGTCGACTCGACACGGCACGGCCCCAAACATCCCACGTCGCGCTCGCGTTCTGCCAGCTCTCTCCCCGCAGTCGCTGCTGCTCACGCTCTCGCCGCGCGTCTCCTGTGCTGCACGCCCACACGTGCGCCGCCCGTCCGCCGCGCGGGAGCGAAGCGCTCTTTGGTGGCGACACGAGCTGCTGTGCCATCGACTCTCGGCAGCCAAGGGATTCTGCCAAAGACATACTCCGCCTTTCCCTGACACGCCGTCAAACCAAAATGGCAAGGCTACCCTCGCCTCGCCGGCAAGAAGACTGCCGGAGACGTGTGCGCATCGCACGGTGGCTTGTATGTGCCCAGCTTCCGAGCGTCAGCAGCCTGTGAGATTTCGCAGCTCGATCAGCGCTCCTCACACACCAGCCGACACACCGGTCACCGCTCACAGAGCCGACACGCCGGCGCATCTCATCTCTATGTGGACGTGCAGCGCGCAGCGCAAGCGCTCTCAAGCGAAGGAGAAAACTAAAGATGCTCCTCATTAGATTTCAGTTATTTTTTGCCTCCACTACGATACTGTGCGCACTGCCCGAGGCGGAAAAACAGCCACGGCCTCAACTGCCGGACGGGCGTATTTGCAGGCGCGTTGTGTGTCGTGAAACGCCCGTCCCTGGAAACGTTCAGAGGAAGGACGACCGGTCGCCGTGCGCCTTGCATCCCACCGACTCATCGTAATCGTGCGTCAGCTCATCGTCGCCCGCTTCGATTAATGCGCGCGTACACTATGTTGCGAACGGGCTCGGGCTGGTAGAGCGAGCCGAGACGCGATGCACGTTGCACAGCCGCGCGTGCGAGAAATACGCGTGGCAAATCTCGGGAACTTGCACCGCATACACACCGTTGCCCGACAGGCAGCAGGTGCGCACCGGCCGTCGCCGCACCGGCGACCAGCGCTCTGAAGTCGGCGAGCGCTAGCCGCTGGTTGACGAGGTTGGGCCAGCGGTAGGCCCTCAGGCTTTTGGCTCGCCACCGAGCAATGTGTCGCCGAGCGATGCGCCGCCGAGCGAAGAGAATGGCGCCAGACAGACATAAGCTCGGTCTGAGGTTCCGCTTAGATGCACGACGTCAGCGGCGCGCCGGGCAAACGTCTCGTGACAAATCATTTCCCTGCGCCACCAAAGAGCGCTTCGCTCCCGCGCGGCGGACAGGCGGCGCACGTGTGGGCGTGCAGCACAGGAGACGCGCGGCGAGAGCGTGAGCAGCAGCGACTGCGGGGAGAGAGCTGGCAGAACGCGAGCGCGACGTGGGATGTTTGGGGCCGTGCCGTGTCGAGTCGACCTACGTTCCCGCTCGGCGAGCCTCGACGCGGCGCAGGAAGCCGTGACGGCTGGTGCTGCACACCGCCATCGCAGCGTGTTGAAAAGGCGCTCTTGTCGCCACCGCGGTGGTGATCGAGCGCGTTGCGCACACGATAAAACGTGCGTACGCGATGGTGGTGAGCTCGGTCGAGGGTGGTGGGCCGAAAACGCGAGTAGGTACGGCCGCGCGGGGCCACGGCGAGCTCCGCGCAGAAATCGCGCGCTTCGCACAAATCGCAGAAATCGAGCGGCTGACAGCCAAACTCCCAACACCACCCGAGGACCACCACCACCCGTGTCCCAAAGTGAGAATTCCGATTGTACCCTCAGTATCCAGAATAGTAAAGTCTGAAAAAGTCGGTCCGACCGCACACTAATGTGCAGAACAAAACACGTGTGAGTGTTAGAGTTGTTTGGTATTGCTAAAAATCTCTCTCTCTAATGTGCGCGCAGAGCGGTCTGATGTACCAGGAAACGAAACTAGCGCCAAAATTGAGATCTCAGGATTGACATTAATTTCTCGCGCCTGCTTTCGCTGCTTGAGACTCGCCAAACAGATCCTGCGTCTATGGCCGTGTGCAACGTCAAGTCGTTAACCGCGACAAGACCATCGCACCAACCGCGACTCTGTTGCTTTTATGCGGCAGCATATTCACCGTGACTCTTGCCGTGGATGGTTAGTGACCGCAATACTACGCCGTGAGCTTAGCTGCACCAGCCGTTTCTCTTTCTTCCCTTGCCTTCTCTTGCCGTCCGTTCCCTGTGCGCATTCCACTGCATGCGGCATCACAAGCGTCTTCTGCCGGGCGCGCATCTGAACTCGTACCTGGTAGGCCATCGCTTTGCTGAAAGATCAGGCGCCTGAATGGCGACAGTGAGCGTCTCCTACTTATGGATTGCGCTCGAGGTATGAGGAGCGCAAGAGCGCGCCGCAGGCGAAGCGATTTTTTGGCGGCAGGGCTTTTCAAGGTTATCTTTCTTGTGATCACGCGCGAGCCTCAGCCTGAGAATAGGCCCCGGAGGCCTCAACCCTCAACTAAAGGGTTGACGGGGGGTCTCAACCGTCAACCAGATGGTTGAGGGGGGGCCTCAACCCTCAACCCCTCAACCACCCCTCTGCGCCGAATGAAATAAATGCAAACCGGTGGTCGACGGTAGGAAAGCTCCGGGAAAGGCGCGATGCTCGCAGCCCTGGCTGCCACCGCGGCTCTCGTCTCGTACCCTGCGCTGCAGGCGGCGCCGGTCACGCGAGCCTCGGACGGCACCCGCCTCCCGCTCACGTCGCTGTGGGGCGCAGAGGATCGTGCCGTCCTCGTATTCCTGAGGCACTTTGGGTGAGTCTTCTGCTGGGAGCTGGCGCTGCAGGTCGACCACACCGTCCCTGCGAAGGAAGAGCGGAGCCCCCCTCTCTCACACCTCCTCGTGTGCGCAGCTTCGTCGCGACGTGCTCCCAGCGATAGCCTCGGCCGACAACGTCAAGCTCTTCTCCGTGGGGATCGGCTCCGCCGAGGCGGCAAAGACGTTCGCAGAAAAGATCGAGTTCCCTGCGGCGCTGCTGTTCGCCGACGAGAGCGACACCACCGATGCGTACGCCGCGGCAGGCACGCGCAACACGCAGCGCGACGCGGGCGGCAAGCAGGTCTTCGAGGGCGTCGAGTCGATGTGGTCGGCGGCCACCAACCGGGCTATCCAAGCGCGCGGCCGCGACGACCTCAACTCGATCACGGGCAACCTGTTCGCCCCAGGGCCGTACGTGCCGCTGATGCCCAAAGGGCAAGGTCTCTTCGACCCAAGGGCGATGGAGCGGACCATGGTGCAGGGCGGCACGTTTGTCTTTGATGGAGACGAGCAGATCTTCACTCACTACGACTCGTCGAGCGGCGCTCACGCTGACCTGGGCGAGGTGGTCCAGCTCGCGACGGAGGGCCGCACGAGGTGACAGCGGGTGACGAACAACTAGGCGCAGGTATAGTGGAAAGCACATGATTACGGCTTTACCTGGAGGTGCGCGCTCTCGAGGATGAGGTTTGCAGCGGCGAAAGCGCCGATCGGCGTGGCCTTGCAGGCGGAGAGACGAGGGCATCCATCCCTGGTTTGGCGTGTGTTCGAAAGGTCATCAGCTCTAACCTTAAAGCTTAATTCCAAAGACTGGCCTTAAGCGACGTGCTCCCCGGAGATGATAGCGCTGCGTGATCCGTGTTTCTATTTTGCACGACACGGGGCACGGGACTGGCGCGCACTGGCACGGCGGCACTTATCGAGGAAAATTCTTTTTTGCCCGACGGCTCTTTGCTCCGGAAATGCGATTCTCTTCTCCAGCAATGCCGGCGTTGCTGCTGCTGCTGCTGCCCTCGTCGCTTGGTTACAGCCTACCCAAGGCTGGCCGCCCTCGCCTGGCCGTGGGCCACCGGCTATGTCGTTCGATCAGCCTGGCGGAAACCAACCGCCGAAGCAAAGATGCGGCTGTGGCGGATTCAAGAGCCTCTGCTGTGACAGCCAGGGCAGCAGACGCAACGGCAGCTTCTCTCGCCGACGATTCCCGACGAGAACGTGCTTCTCTCGCCGACGAGAACGTGCGGCTTCGCCAGGAGGTTGCGGATCTCACGGCCCAAAACGAGCGATTGCAGCGAATGGCGGACGACGCGGCGGCAGAGATCTTCCGGGCGGAGAACCTTGCGGCGGCGGCGAGGCGCTCCTTCCTCAACAACCTCGGCGTCGTCAACCTCCTCGTAATTTCGACCTTTGGGATCGGGATCGTCTATTCGCTGCTCGAGACCGACATCCGGGCCATCTTTGCGCTATACTACTTTGACCTCGGGCCGGACGTGTACCCGGGCTTCGCGCGGTGGGTGGTCGCACTCGACCTGATCCTCCGCCTACCGGGCGAGCTGCTGCACCAGCACGAGGCGCTGTCCATGACATGTCCGAGACATGTCCGAGACATGTCCTCAGGCGAGCTGCTGCACCAGTACGAGGCGCTGGTGCCGACCAACCCCGTCTTTTACAAGGCCCGCACCTCTGCCACCCTCAGCCACCCTCTGCCACCCGCCTCTAGCGCTCTCCGCTTGTGCCGTGCGAGCGAGGCTCCACCACGCCCATGCGGCCCGGTCTTTTGCAAGCCCGTGCCGCCCCGGCGCCACCGGCGGCGCGATGCCGCCCTCCTTTGCAATCGCCACCTCTGCTCTTCCGGGCCTTTCGCAGACCCTTCTCGGACAGTTCTGCCAGCCTGCGCCACTCACCCGCAGGCGTGCACCTCTGGCGTCGCGTACACCTTCGGCGACTTTGTCTCCCAAATCTACCAGGGGCGCACCCTCGCCTCTCTCGACCTGCCCCGCTCCTTCCGCTCCGGCGCCGCAGGCTTCATCGGCCACGGCCCGCTCCGCCGCACGCGGCTCTCGCGACGGCGTGTTTGCCCGTCCCAGACGTGTCCCGGACGCGTCCCCCCGTAGGCCCGCTCTGCCACTACTGGATGCTCACGATGGAGCAGTACCTCGACTTTGGAGGAGCGTGGTGGGGCACCGGCGTCAAGGTGCCGAGAGACAGCCGAGAGGCAGCCCAGAGACAGCCGAGAGGCAGCCGAGGGACAGCCGAGAGGCAGCCCAGAGGCAGCCCAGAGACAGCCGAGAGGCAGCCGAGGGACAGCCGAGGGACAGCCGAGAGGCAGCCGAGGGATAGCCGAGAGCCGAGACATAGGGCGCGTCGGGTGGTCGCCAATTAGAGGTCAGTGTCTTCCATTGCGGCATCCTTCTTCCTGTGGTGGACATGTCCCCCATCTCCACTGGACGTGTCCCCCATCTCCACTGGACGTGTCCCCGACTTGGGTGGACGTGCCCCACGCCTCAGGTGCTCGCCGACCAGACGGTCTGGTCGCTCTACCTGAACGCGATGTACTCTTTCCTGATCGGCGACCGCTCGTAGACAGCCCCGCGAGACCGCTAGACCATCCCAGCCAGCCACCGGACGGCCCCCCAGTCCGTCATCTCCCTTCACGGCACCTCCCGTCGCGCCGAACCCTCACAGCCACCTTCCCTGACCCCCCCCCCCCACCCCCTGCCCCCCCCCCCCCCACCCACTCACACACACCTCCCGGCAGGCACGCTTGCCTTCCGCGCTCCCGGCGACGTCTGGCGCGACGTGCGTGCGACGTCGTGGCCCGCGCTGCGCTCGTCGTGGCGCTTCTGGCCGTTTGTGCACTGCATCTCCTTCTCGCACGCGGTGCCGCACCGCCCCGCTGCTCAGACGGCAGGGAGAGAGAAGGGGGGGGGGAGCTGGCCGGCGGTGAGACGGGAGAGCTGTCTCCACAGGTGCCGCTCGACCTCAAGCTGCTCTGGGTGGACGTGATGGAGATCGTCTGGGTGACCATCCTCTCGCGCGTCGCCAACCAGGACGAGTCGGCGGAGCAGCCCGTCGTTGCAGAGGCGAGCCGCTCCGAGCCGCTCCGAGATGCTCCGAGGTTTAGCCGAGATACTCCGGCTCACCTCGGCTCATCTCGCCAGGCGTTTGGCGTCGACCCGTCCCTCGAGGTCGAGCTCTCGCGCCAGGTCGTGGCCGGCGAGCTGAGGCGCGAGAGACCAACGCCACACTGCAGCCCCCCCCCTCTTCACACCCCCCCCCCCCCCTCTCCCCCCCACACACATCGCCCCGGAGGCCTCGCTATCCTCCGCCAACTCCCGCTCGACGCCGTGGCCCGCAGGTACGCCACCGCCTCCGGCTGGGAGGCGTGCGATGAGGAGGCTTGCTACGTCCTCGCGCCTGCGGGCGGAGGCGGCGGAGGCGGAGGTGGCGGAGGTGGCGGCGAGGGCGGCGGCGGCGGCGAGGCCAGCCTCGCCGGCTTCAGCCTGCCGCCGCCCAAGCAGCTGCTCGACAACTGCTGGCCGTTGCTCGCCTTTTGGCCCGTGCTGTTTGCCTTCCACCAGGGCGCGCGCCCGCCGTAGAGAGTAGCGGCCCCCCGTGGCGCGGGGCGGGGGGGGCAGGAGGGGTTTGGGCTGCTTGTGCGGCGAAGCCACGCTCCTCGGTGGTTTATGATCGAGCCCTCTGCCGCCGCAGGTGAGCTCGCTCTCGGCTTCGACGTTTGAAGCCGCCCGGTCCTCTTGCCTATTGTTGCTCTCTATTTTATTGGCGTACCCCGTACTGTCTCGACTCCCGCTTGTGGTGGGCGGGCGAGCCCTCTGCAAGGCGGCCCCGCGCACACGTCTGTGGTCCTGTCAGAGTTTTTTGGGTGGGTTGCATGTGTGTGTGCACACCCCCACTGTTTGCGCATGTGGAGAGAGAGTGCCAATCGGCTCTTTATTTATCGTTCTTTTATTTATGGCACAAGGAATCGTCGACTCGTTTGAGTGTCGGGTCGGGCTCGGGGGCGCACATCCACATGCACACCCCGCCGGGCTGACGGTGACGCACTCGACCTCCGCCAGACCCAGAGAGCGCAGAGGCTCCCCAGGCTCTGCTAGAAGCAGAACTCCACAGGCACAGTTTGTGCAGAACCCCCCCCACATCTCTCCCCGCATGATGAAATTAAACCTCTCGCGCGCCGCTGTCACCTCTAGCTGAAGTGCAGGTAGATTACGGTAGCTCCAATGGCGATCATGACCAGCGACAGCAGCGCGGGGATCGAGACGCAATCGACCACGCGCTTGGAGGAGAGGAGGTAGGCGGCGGCGGGCACGATGAAGAAGAGTGACGCGCCGGTGGTGGCGCCGGAGAGGCTAACGATCTGTCCCAGGTCGGAGAAGTTGAGAGCGAGGGCGACCATCATCGCGTCGAACATCAGGATGACTGCGATATCCAGCGGCGCCGTCACAAAGACGGACGGCGGCGGGGCCTTTGTGCCAGCGACGCTGATCTGTGGCCCGCGGCGCTTGCCCCGTGGCACGCAGAGCTCCAGCATTGAGACCAGGGCCAGCCGCGCCGGATTAACTAGAAGCGGGACCGAGCCGAGGAGGGCGACGGCGAGGGCGGTGCGGGTGACGGCAACGGCGGGCGCATCCGGTGGGTACGAGTTGAGCACGTTGCTCGCGACTTCACCGCCAAAGGTGATGTAGCCCGAAGCGGCAAAGATGGTGTAGGTGGTGAGGGTGAGCAGCATCGCGAGGCACACCACCGTCACCTTGCGGCAGCTAGTCGGGCGGTCAAGCTCCGTGAGGACCGTAAAGACGTTGTGCTGGCAGAAGAAGGCGATGACAAAGGTGGGCGCCGTCCGCAGCAGCTCCAGCGGCGTGCCGAGGATGCGCACCATCGCGTCGCCGCAAAAGGCCGGGAGGGAGAGGCCGAGAAGCTCCCAGATGCGGCCCAGCCAGTCGTGCAGCGGGTCCGGCGCTGCGGGCGGAGCAGTTGGGGCCGAGGCGTTGCTCGGCGCAGAGAGCGATAGCGCTGCCGAGGCATCGACGGCGGCAGTGGCGGCAGCGGCAGCCGCAGCGTCACACGGGTCGCCGAGCAGCTCGGGCGAGACGAGGTAGGTGAGCTCGGTGAGCGCGATCACGAGCAGACAGATGATGGAGATCGATGAGAAGATGCGGAGTGAGTCGAGCGAGCGCAGGAAGCAGACAGGCACAAAGTAGAGGGCAGCGGCGAGGAGAAAGATGGTGCGATCCACCGCGCCGTAGGTGAGGGTGATGTTGTCAGCCGCGACGACCAGGCGCATGAGCACGCCTCCCGTCATCTGAATCGTGAGCGCGCACGTAAGCACGACCCCCGAGCCGGGCAGGAGGGAGTTGCAGAGCGAAAAGAGCGTCGGCGTCTCGAGTCCACATCGCGCGCCGGCCGCGTTGAGCAGGAATATGGAGAGGGCGGCGAGGACCGCGCCGGACGCCAGCAGGCTTAGCCCACCAAAGAGGCCCGACTGCGCAAAGGCGTGCGGCAGAGCGAGGACGCCCACGCCCATCTGAGTGCTCGAGAGGGTGATGACAGACGACAGCACCGACGCTCCGGTCGTGCCGCTAGGCCGAGCAGGGTTGAGGAAAGAGGAGCGCTTCCGAGAGAGGCCGCTCTTGCGTTTGGCATCACTCTGTCCGCTGCTGCTCAGTCGGATCGTGACCGGCCTACCATCGTCGTCCTTCATCTCCTTTGCAATTGCATCACCCTTTTGCAGCGCGGCCGAATAGCTCAGCCGGCCAGAGCCGTCTCCGCTGCTCGTCACGCCGCCCACCATGATCTCATCGCCGTCCTTGATGCCATAAGATGAGAGTGTGCGGCCCTCCTTTAGGGGCTCGCCATAGTGGGACAGCTCGATCCGTTCTGCAGTCCATCCAACAGCTTGGCCAACGGCCGACGCAGCCGCGAGACCCTTGAATGCCTCGATGCTTGTGGACACCGGGGCGGTGACGGGGAACTTGATGCTTCCCGTCGTCGTGCGGAGGCGAACTCGAATCACGTCCCCCACCAGCGGCTCCCGGAGCTCCTCCATGAGCGTCAGCGGGGCGGCGATTGCCGCGCCCCGACGTCCGTCCCCTTGCCACGCTCCCGAGGTCTCGCGAGCTACGAGGGGGGGGGGGGGAGGTTATGCGCTTTTTGTCAAGGTAACGACATAGCTTCTGCTCATTTCTTCTTCTTCTTGGCCTTCTCGGCCGTCTCCGCAGCGGCGGCTTTCTCCTCGAGGATCGCAGCCACCTAGCAGAAACGCGCAGAGGCGGTCCATGACGGCTCCTGCCTGCGTACTCGGCCTGGCGCAAGCCGAAGGCAAACGCTTGCTCAAACGCGGCCTTCGGCGGCGTCGACTACGCGGTGGACGTAGCGTGCCACGGCTCGTCCGAGGACCTCGGTGGTCGCGGCCATCCGCGGGGAGGCTCGAGGCACGGCGAGCAGCGCGTCAGCAGAGCCACCGAGGGCTAATAAATAAATAGAGCAGGCATCTCCAGGAGAGATGGGCGACGCACGAACACAGAGGGACAGTGCGCACCCCGCCCCGCTCGCAGGGCGTGCAGCAAACCGAGGGCATGGGGAAGCGGGCGTGGCGGTGAATTCTTTTTCTCGCGATGTCCACCCCGCCACGCCGCCGCTCGCGCCGCCTCGCCTCCGCCGCCACAGCCGCTCCCTCGCCAGATACGCCGCCGCCCGCCCGCCTCCTCGACCTCCCCACGGAGCTCCTCGTGCGCGCCATTTCTCGCTGCGACCCCACCGACATCGCTCGCGTCGCGGCTGTCTCGCTGCTCTTTCACGCCTCGCTTGCGGTGGAGGGCATCCGCTTGTGGGCGCAAGAGCGCGGCTTCGAGCTGCCGGCGCAGCCAGAGGACGAGGGCTGCGCCGTGCGGTGGCTGTGCTTTGCTGCGCTGCTGTGCGAGTCCAACCCGCCGGCGAGCGCGGCGGCAGGCGGTCGGCACAGCCTCTTCATCGTCGGCGAGGGGCGGCTCTCGTCGTGCGGCTCTGCGCCGCACTACAACCAAGCGCTGCTCGGGCACGGCGCGGGCGTGACGCGGCTCAACACGCCGACTCGCCTCCCCTCTCCGGTGGGGGGCGAGCGTGCCGTGAGCGTGTCGGCTGGAGTTTACCACAGCCTCGCCCTCACTGCCGGCGGGGCCGTCTGGAGCTGGGGCTCTGGAGGCTTTGGCCGGTTGGGCCACGGCGATCAGCAGCGCCAGCTGCTGCCCAAGAAGACCGAGGCCTTTGCTGCCCAGCGCGTCGTCGCTGTGTCGGCTGGTGGAGCGCACAGCCTCGCCCTCACTGCCGACGGCGCTGTCTGGAGCTGGGGCCGGGGAGTTGTTGGCCAGTTGGGCCACAGCAACCAGCAGGACCAGCTGCTGCCGAAGAAGATCGAAGCCTTGGCCGGGCGGCGCGTTGTCGCTGTGTCGGCTGCAGCCCGCCACAGTCTCGCCATCACCGCCGACGGAGCCGTCTGGAGCTGGGGCTTTGGAGGCTACGGCCGGTTGGGCCACGGCGACGAGCAGAACCAGTGGCAGCCAAAGAAGGTCGAGGCGTTGGCTGGCCAGCGCGTCGTCGCTGTCTCTGCCGGCAACCACAGACTCGCCCTCACCTCCGACGGCGCCGTCTGGAGCTTTTGGTACAGGCAGTTTTGGCATAGGGACTTTTGGCGAGCTGGGCCACGGTGACGAGCAGGACCAGCTGCTACCCAAGAAGGTCGAGGCCTTGGCTGGCCAGAGCGTCGTCGCTGTGTCGGCGGGACGTGAGCACAGCCTCGCCCTCACTGCTGACGGCGCCGCCTGGAGCTGGGGCGGGGGCGAACACGGCTGCCTAGGCCACGGAGATCACCTGTCGAATCAGCTGCTGCCCAAGAAGATCGAGGCGTGGGCGCCAGGGCAATGATGGGCGGCTCTGACCTCTGGCCGGGCGTTTAGTCGCTCAGCTAGAGGAGCTTGTTGAAGCCAGCCCGCGTTGTGTGCCTGTGTGTATGCATATGAGTTTGGAGACTCACAAATAGGTCCTCTGCGCGCATCGTCCTGGCGTGTCGCGTGTGAAACGCTCGCGGCCCACGCACATATCGAGACCGTTCACTTAACTCTCCCCGCCAGAGAGCGCGCGCATGTTGGGGCCATACACACAACGCGGCGTCTACACGCGTGCACGCGTGACGCAACGCTCACGCATTCTCGCGTTACGGCTTACGCCTTCGATGACTAACCACGCAATCTCAACTCAAACCACACGCACAGGCGCGGCCCCTGCTCGTGTTTTGAGCGATGTTTTGGCTTTTGCGGTGACCGGTGTGACCACAGCACAAGAGATCCACACGCAGTCCACACTGACTTCACTACCTGAGTTCACTACTGACTTGGGCTGGGTCGTCAAACGACCTCGGGGTGGAATCTATGAGCATTTGATTCATTTCTGAGCAGATGCTTGTGTGACCTGTCGAATCAGCTGCTGCCCCCAAGAAGATTGAGCCATTGGCGCCATGGGCGGCTCTTATTGTTGGCTTTGTGGTCGGTGTATTCTTTGGAAAACAGAAAGAAAACAGACAAACCAAACGACGGATGGGGGAGGAGGACAGGGTCCCCACCGGTGAGCGGTGTATTCTTTGGTCCAGGTGTCCACGTGGCGCTTGGATTTCTTTTCTCGTCGCCAGCCACGGGGGAGGCTATGCGCTCTTTGTCAAGGTATATTGTTGGCTTTGTGGTCGGTTATTCTTTGGTCCACGTGTCCACGTGCTTTAGCGTTTTGGCCTTTTCTTTTCTCATCGCTAGCCTAGAGTGAGTGTGACACACACACACACACACACACACACACACACACACACACAACAACAACAACAACACACACACACACACACACACACACACACACACTAGCCTAGAGCTCTTGGTCCAGTCAGTCACCTTGTTTCCCGAACGCCACCCTGCGGCCGCTAGGTTTCTTCTCATCGTTCTTCTCATCGTACCTGTGTTTGCCGCCGCGTGCCCAAAGAAAGAAATTCTGCTGTTCGCAGCCGGTCCTAGTCAATTCCGTTGCGAGGCAATCTTCTCCGCAGCAAGCAGCAGCAGGCGATGCCCGACGAGCTGGGCGATCGCGAGGAGGGTCCCACAAATAGCCGCTTTGGGGGGCGAGGCGTCATCGCGGTGAGCAAAGACGGCACAACCTGAGCGCACTCGCAAACCTGCGTCAGCAACCGCATCTCACAATCATAGGCCAAGCTGCAGGTCGCGGCGGCGATGGTGTACAAGTGCGACGGCGAGTTGATGCCGACCAAGTCGCTAAAGAAGAACAAGCGGCTCGGGCCGGTGCAGAAGGCCGAGCCCGACGAGCCCGCGGTGCCGACCTCGGTCGTCGCGGCCGAGCCCAAGGCTGTGCTGGGCGCGGCGGCGATCGTTTCGCCGCCGACCACGGTCGGACCCCTCCTTCCCGCCCCCACCGACGCCGGCATTAAGCTGCCAGTGAAGGCCGAGGCCGCGGTGGTCAAGAAGAACACGATTGTGGCAGTTCCCCCGCCACTCTCGCGGAAGCCGGCGGCGGGGTGCCTCGTGCCCGCTGCTGTGCGAAGCAGTACCCGTTCCTCACTCTCCCAACTACTTCGCACCGACGTCTTTAGGCGCATAGAGCCCACGCCTCCACCGCGGCGCAAGATGAAGAAGAGCGAGCCCCCCTACTACTCGGGGCACGTCACGCCGGCAGGCAAGGGCAAGCAGAATGTGCTGCCGCCCGGCTACTTTCGGACCGTCAAGGGTGCCAGCGACCGCCACCACTGGAACTACCACGGGCCCGACGGCTGCATCATCTCCGAGTCCGCGTCCAAGGCGTGGCAGCATTTCCGCGAGAACGGGCCCCTTGAAGCCGCCGACCTTGCTTCCGCCGCGCTCATCAACGTCGCCCCCGCCGCCGCAAACGCCGCCGCCGCTGAGACCGTTGGTGTCACTGTCGCCGTCGCCGCCGCAGACGCCAGCTGCGACACGAGCCAGCACGTTGGGCAAGACAGCTTCAGCGATTGGGACGGCTACGGCAGCGCAGAGGAGGACGGCGAGCTCGCGGGGGAATTCGCCTCGCTCTACGCGTCGCCCGCCTCGGCCACGTGCTCTCCGCGTTCCCCTTTCACCGACGCCTACTCTGCCATGACGTCGAAGAGTGCGTCGCCCGCATTCAGTGCACTGGAGGGGCTCGACGACTTCAACCTGCCGCCGGCGCTGACTGACCTGTTCGACGACGCCTTGCGGTCTCGCACGGCGAGCCCGTTTGCCGTGCATGCCGACTACCCGCCCGCCTCGCCCCTCGCCGACGGCCTCGGCGAGCTGAATAGCCCCTGGTCGGACGGGGGCGGCCTCGCGTCCGGCGCACTGTGGCGCGAGGACGTCGTTCCAAAGGACATCCCGACGCTTGCCGCAAAGGACGCCCCGCCGCTCCACAGCGGCGATGCCGGGGCCGCCCACGACGAGGCGCCGCCCTCTACTCCCGCGCCCGTGCAGAGCGGCGTCGGAGAGCGCGAGTCGCAGCGGCAGCGCAAGGCGCCGTCGCGCTGGTCCGCCGACCCGCTCTCTGTCCTCAACCTCGGGGGGAGGCTGTCTGAGCTTGAGCAAGCCCGCGGCGGTGGCGATGCCGGCGGCGGTGACGATGCCGGGGGCGGCGGACTGCGGCTTCCCGCGCCGCGCGCCCGCAAGAAGATCATCGGGCGGGTCATCGCGTGCGGCACGCCGGGCTGCTCTCGCGGGGCCTACCACGATGGGCTCTGCTCGACCGAGCGGGCGGGCAAGCGCACCCGCTCGACCACTAACAAGAACGGCCGCAAGCGGTCGCGAGCGGGCCCCCAGCAGTAGGCTGCCGCCGTCTCGCGCGGGCGCTGCAACCTCGCTCGCGCGCATGTAAATGAACGGCACCCCTCGCGACGGAGAGCTCGAAGGAGAGGGGGGGAGCGGTATCCCCGGCCCTCTCTACGCGGCGCTCCTGTCGCCCATTAATCGGACGGTCATGCGCGAGAGTGCGTCCGCTCGAATATGGGAGACGTCCGCATGGGATCTATCGGCGTGGTTAGCTGCCACGCCTGTGCTGTGCTGAGAGGCCTGTGAGTGTGCGTGTATTCGTCCGCGCGTGTGCGCGCGCGACGAAGTGCTTTTGTGTCCCCGGTTCCACAGTAAGGAACGGAACCGCTGCGCCCCTGGGTTCCACCGGTGTGCGCTACCTTGCGTTGGTCGTTCGTGTGCGCGTGGACCTCGAGCTCGTAAAACCATCCGTGGATTGGCACGGCGTTACCTTGCCCCCAACGCCAAGCGAAGCGACTGGCGACAGGAGCCCCGAGACGGATCGTTGCGCGTGCGTGTGTATACACAGTTGACAGTATTGGGATGAGTATACGGCGTTACTGACTGACTACTGCGTGCCTGCGTGTGCCCCCCCGGCTGGAGGCTGGAGCCCCCCGCCCGCCCCGCTCTCCCGCACGCACACACAGATCAGTGCATGTGTCACACGCCGCGCGCCGCTCTCTGGACTCTGCAGTCTCAGCACTCACACACAGGTCTCACGCACACGTCACCGCGCGCGGCAAGCCGGGGGCGGGGGTGAACCTGAGTCGCGGGGACGAGCTAGAAGGGGGACAGCGGGATCGAGCCTAGCAGCTAGCCCGCCGCGTAGGGGATCGCGCGCTTTTCGCGGGGAAAGAGCAACGGGATTAGTGTTTTAGTCATGCACTCGCTTGCTTTTTTTTCGCTCCAGAGTCCAGTCCTGCGGATCTTTTCACACTCCAAGAGGCTGTTAGTCATGCGTTAATTGGCGGTGGCAAAACACCTCAGAAGACACAGAACCCTCTCTACTGGCTACACTCAGGGGCAGAGGGGTAACGGGTATACCCGATGCCAAGCTCTCGGCGTGTATGCCATAATCGCAATGCGCACCTCGGCTTGGCCTCGAGCTGGCCCCGCACAAGTGTCATGGTCTTATGCTGGTCTCAAGTGTCCGCCGCTATCCTCCCTCCTCACACCTCCTCACTCCCCCGCGACGAGCTTTTTGGCGGCCCACGCCCAGCAGGCGACCGTCGCGACAAAGCTGACCGACGGGACGGTGGACAGGCCTGACGTCATGAAGAGACCAGGTGTGAGGGCGGGAGTACGGTGTCTCGCATCCCGTCTTCACAGCATCTACACACGGGCGACGATCCCAGCCGAATGCAGCCGAATACAGCTGGATGCGCGCCCCCTCGACTGCGAGTCTGACTCGGGGGGTGTGTACTCCGCATCTAGGGGCAGGCCGTGCGCGCCGAGCCGGCGGGCGAGGATGCCGGTCAGCGCGAGCAGGTTGACCGCCTTACGAGGTGCAGGCGCGAGGCGAGGTGAGGCAAGCTCCTCTCCGACACGCCTGTGTGTGTGCGGGGCAGGGGGCAGGCCCATCCCGCGCATCGGCCCCGGGACATGCAGCAGCCCCGCGGCATTCAAAGTGCAGCGCTCCCCCGGCGCGCGTGTGGGACAGGGCAGTGCGATGGCGGGGCCTTGACGGCGACTGTCCGCTGCTTGGGCGCGACGGCGGCGGCGGCGAGGCTGACGAAGACGCACGCCGCCGCCTCGGCGGGGAGAGTGCCGACGAGGGGCAGCCGGCCTGAGGCGCACGGAGGTACAGGGGGGTGAACTTCGGCGCACCACGCGGACACAAGCGACAAGAGGGACGAGTACGGTGGACGCGGTTCAACTTTCAGCCGAGCGCGAGTGGCGGTCGGAAGGCGCGGACCCTGTGTTCCGCATCGACGGGCAGCCGGCCTCCGTGCTGCATCTCGTCTAGGTCTCGTCTAGGTCTCGTCTAGGTCTCGTCTAGGTCTCGTCTAGGTCTCGGCTAGGTCTCGGCTAGGTCTCGGCTAGGTCTCGGCTAGGTCTCGGCTAGGTCTCGGCTAGGTCTCGGCTAGGTCTCGGCCTCCGTGCTGCAGCTCGACGGCGAGCGCGAGGAAGGAGGCGAGGGTCGTGAAGGCGGCGTAGACCTTGAGAGTGCACGCACAGAGGGAGCTGAGGGTGGGGCTGCGGCCTCCTGCGCCTCGCGTGAGTACCGAGGGCTGCGGACGCAAATCTCCTCGCCAGTGCCGGCGGGGTGGCAGCGGGTCTGTGCCCAGCATTGCTCCGCACTAGGTGGCTGCATCTAGGTGGCAGGCCGAGAAGGCGAGCCGCTGGAGCCCGAAGGGCGGGCCGGCGCTGCGGAGCGGGAAGCCGGCGAGGAGAGGGACGAGAGGCAGGGTGAGGGACGACGCAAGGGGCAGCGCGCCCGCCGCCGCGTTTGAGGCGAACAGCAGCCACGCCGTCGCGGCGCAGTTTGCAGCAGCGAGCGCCGTGAGGCTGTCCTGCTTGAGAGGCGGTCGGCCAGGGAGCGGCAGCGCGGAGCTGGCGAGGGTGAGGAGCTGCAGCAGCGAGATGGCGGGCCAGATCAGGAAGACGAAGTTCGCCGGCGTGACCAGGGTCGGGAAGAGAGCCGCGAAGGCCTCGTTCGTCGTCGGGCCGACGCCGCGCGTGATGACGGAGCGCATCGTCGCGACCCCGCCGACCATCATCGGCATCGGCATGGACATCATCGTCGTCGAGATGAGGCCAAAATAGGCGAGTGAGGCGCTCGCGGGGACGTGGTTGGCGAGGCGGACCGCGCGAGAGACGACCTGCGTATCCAGCTTCTCGAGCAGTCCGGCCCGGTCAAAGGCGCCCCACTCAAAGCCGGCCGGAGGCGGAGCGGCGGCGAGCCGCAGCTGGGCGCGGAGCGGCGGCCGGGCGGGATGGGCGACCGCGAGCGAAGCGGTCAACGCGGCGAGCATAGCAGCTGTGCTGGGTTCGAGGAGTCAGGGGGGTAGGAGAACTCGGCATACACCCCCTCCTACCCCCCTACCCCTCCATTTGACGTGTAACGGACGTCCCACGTGGTAGCTCTGACGCTCTACCCCCTACCCCGGCCCTACCCCAACCCCCACCTGGTCCCTGCACCCCTAGCCCTACCGCTACCCTACCCCCCAATCAGATACCCAATCATCTCGAACCCTGCTCCATGAAGAGACCTCGAGAGTGCGTGCGAGTGCCTCTACTCCGTACTCGCCCGGGCACAGGGCAAACAGAGAGGCTGATAAAAGAAAACATCCGGTGCCACACACGGGAGTGGAAAAGAAACCCCGGCGCTTGCATCACTGCCCCGGCGCCCACGCCTCGATCTTCTTGGGCAACAGCTGGTTCGACAGGTCCTCTCCGTGGCCTAGCAGCCGCATTCGCCCTTGCCCCAGGTACAGACAGCGCCATCGTCGGTGAGGGCGAAGCTGTGGTACAGCCCAGCCGACACGGCGTTAACGCGCCGCCCCGCAAAGGCCTCGATCTTCTTGGGGAGCAGCTGGCGCTGCTCGTCGCCGTGGCCTAGCAGGCCGTGTCCTCCATAGCCCCAGCTCCAGACGGCCCCATCGGCGGTGATGGCGATGCTGTGGCCATCTCCAGCCGAGACAGCGACGACGCGCCGACCTTCCAGCCCCTCGACCTTCTTGGGCAGCAGCTGCTGCTGCCGGTCGCCGTGGCCCAACTGGCCCAAGCATCCCCTGCCCCAGGACCAAACGGCGCCGTCGGCGGTGAGGGCGAGGTTGTGCTCGGCTCCCGCCGACACAGCGACGACGCGCTCGCCAGCCAAGGCCTCGACCTTCTTGGGCTCCAGCTGGGGCTGCCTGTCGCCGTGGCCTTGCTGTCCGGAGTAGCCACCGCCCCAGCTCCAAACAGCTCCGTCGGCGGTGAGGGCGATGCTGTGCAGACGTCCAGCCGACACGGCGACGACGTGCTGGCCAGCAAAGGCCTCGACCTTCTTGGGCAGCAGCTGGGCCTGCCCGTCGCCGTGGCCCAACCGGCCGTTGTATCCATAGCCCCAGCTCCAGACGGCGCCGTCGGCAGTTATTGCGAGGCTGTGCGCGCCTCCAGCCGACACGGCGACGACGCGCTGGCCAGCAAATGCCTCGACCTGCTTGGGCAGCAGCTGGGTCTGCAGGTCGCCGTGGCCCAACTGACCATAGCTTCCATAGCCCCAGCTCCAGACGGCGCCGTCGCCGAAGCCGCGCTCTTGCGCCCACAAGCGGATGCCCTGCTCCGCGAGCGAGGCGTGGAAGAGGAGCGAGACGGCCGCGACGCGAGCGATGTCGACGGGGTCGCAGCGAGAGACGACGCGCACGAGGAGCTCCGTGGGGAGGTCGAGGAGGCGGGCGGGCGGCGGCGTGTCTGGCGAGGGAGCGGCGGCGGCGGCCGGGGCGAGGCGGCGCGAGCGGCGCGGCGGTTTAGACATCGCGAGAAAAAAACTTGAGGAAATCCCTGGCGCAGACACCGCGGCGTGGTGGGCCGTGAAACAAGAAATCAAAGTGGGAGCTCGGCAAACGCAAAGGCCGCTCCGGGTCGCATCCCACGTGCACTCAACAGCGACTCAAGACCATGCCCGCGGAGCTAGAGTCGGCAACGACCGTCGACTCTGCTGGCAACACGGTGACGGCTGCCAGTGCGACGGCGATGAGCGGTGGAAAGCTCGAGACGCTCTGCGTAGCAATCGTGGACCCGATCTCCACCGGTGCCTGCCTCGCCAAGCATCTCAGCTCGCAGGGCTACAGGTGGTGCACCCTCGCCGCCGCATACCATTCCCGTTTCCTTGCAATCGGCACTTTCGCTATTCCTACCATTTGCTGTCACCGCCAGGCTCACACGCCATAGGCTGTGCCGGGTCTTCTCCGACACGATTCCCGACAGCGTCAAGGCGCTCGTCGCCGCCGGACTTGAGGTGGACTGGGAGGTTACCATTCAGCACGAGGGCCGTGTGGCGAGCACACTGGCGGCCCTCAGGGGCGTGGGCGTCACGCACCTCTTGGTTGGCTCCGAGCCGGGCGTCTCGCTGCATGCCGAGCTCTCGGCGGCCTTTGCTGGCGGCGCGGCGCTTTCGCTGCCTCGGGAGGCGCTCGAGCTGCGGCGCAACAAGTACCTGCAGAGCGAGGCGATCCGGTCCGCGGGCTGCGACGCGGTGCACCAGCGGCTGGCGCACACGCACGACGACGTCGAGGCCTTCATCCACACGATCGAGGCGTCGGCAGCCAAGCGCTTCAAGGCGCGGCCCGCTGCCCGTCTTCTCGGAACCTTCTCGAAAGGCTCTCGGACCCCTCTCGGACCCCTCTCGGGCCCTTCTTTCGCCAGGCGGTCGTCAAGCCGGTGGAGGGGGCCGGCTCGGACGGGGTGACAATCTGCAACTCGGCGGCGGAGGTGCGCTCGAGACATCGGCGTCGAGACATGGGCCGGTCTCACATGCATGCACATGCACATGCACATTGCATGTGCAGGTTGCACATGCACATGCACACATGCATGTGCATGCACATGCACATGCACATGCACGAGTACATGTGCCGAGTGCCGTGTGCGACTCCTCTGACGCCCGGCCTGCCCCGGCCTGCCCCGGCCTTAGGTGCGGCTGGCGTTTGGCAAGCTCGAGGGGACCAAGAACATCCTCGGCCTCGACAACTACGCCGTCCTCTGCCAAGAGTACCTCGAGGGCGACGAGTGGGTCGTCGACACGGTCAGCCGCGCCGGCGAGCACAAGGTGGTCGCGCTCTGGAAGTACGACAAGCGCGACTACCACGGCTCTCCCGTCGTCTACCACGGGATGCGGCTGCACAACGTCGAGGCGGACGAGCCGCTGCTGCGCGGCATGGTCGCATACGTGACGGCGGTGCTAGACGCGCTCGGCATCACCGACGGCGCGATGCACTCCGAGATCATGGCGACGGCGCGCGGACCCGTCCTCGTCGAGGTACATCCGCCGGCTGCATCTCGGCGCATCTCGGCCCATCTCGGCCCATCTCGGCCCATCTCGGCGTATGTCGTCCTCGGCTCAGGTAAACTGCCGGTTGCACGGCGGCGAGGGGATCTGGCTGCCGATAGCAGAGGCTTGCCTCGGCTACACGCAAGTCTCGGCGCTGTGCGACTCCGCCTTTGCGCCGCCCGCCTTCGCGTCGCTCCCCGCCACGCCACGCTCGCCGCTGCTCAAGCACGGCGCGTGGGTGACGATCCGCTCGCCGGCCGACGGCACCATTACGGCGGTGAGCGCCGCGCCATCCCGGCTGCGGCGGCGGCAGCGGCGCGCCTCGCGACGGCTCACCCTCGCCGCCCCTCCCGCGCGCCTCAGGTGCACCACGAGAAGCTGGCGCGGATCCGCGCGCTCCCCTCCTTCCTCGGGGAGTATTGCGCGCCGTGCATCAAGGTTGGCTGCCGCATCCGTCAGACGGTCGACGCGACGACGGTGCACGGCTGCTTCAACCTGGCGCACGCCGCGCCCGCCCCTCGAGGCGGAGCCGCGGGCACAGCGCCTCCTCACGCCTCCTCACGCTGGGAGCAGGTGCACGCCGACGCCGCCACCCTCGAGGCAGACTACCGCGTGGCGCAGCAGCTGATCGACGAGGGCCTCTTCGCCTTCACGCCGGCGGCGGCGGGCGAGAAGGACGTCGTCCGCGTCGAGACGCCGAAGGGGCCGCGCTTCTCGTACCAGCTGAGCGAGCAGGAGCAGGTCCAAAACTCGCTCTGGGGGCTGCTGCACATCTGGAGGCCCCTCGAGGAGAACAGCGGCGCGGTGCCCCTCCGCAAGCTGCGCGCCGTCCGCCGCTCCGGCTGGCGCTTCTGAGGCGGCCGCGCCGATTGCCCCAAGCTGGGCGTGCGCCCCTGATTAGTGATGGTTGTAGTTCTTGATGGGCCATACCCCAACCCATACGCGCGGGGCCGGCGGCGTCGTGTTCACTCGCACACTGTCGCTCGAAGAAAAGAAATGCAGTGTCCGGGCCCGTGTTGTCTGTTGTGAATAGAATTAGAAAAATTCCCTGAGTGTGCACGATCCGTTCCTGTGGCGAGAGCGACACGCGACCGAGGGTGGCCCCACTTCGGGCGGACCCCGTAAGCAGCGAGAGCAGAAAACAAGTAAATGCAAACGAAGAAGCCGGGCCAGGGACGCGCTTCTCTGCGGCCCTACAGACTGCGCATAGAGCTGTCGTGCAAGGAGATCTTTGCGTTCCAAATCAAGCGGATGCGGGCGTGCTGGGCGGCCACGCCTCGACCTTCTTGGGCAGCAGCTGGTCCAACAGGTCCTCTCTGTGGCCTAGACAGCCCTGTTCGCCCTTGCCCCAGGTAAAGACGGCGCCGTCGGCGGTGAGGGCGATGCTGTGGAATGCTCCACCCGACAGAGAGACGACGCGCCGGTCAGCAAAGGCCTCAATCTTCTTGGGCAGCGGCTGGGCCTGCCCATCGCCGTGGCCCAGCTTGCCAGAGCCTCCACTGCCCCAGCTCCAGACAGCGCCGTCGGCGGTGATGGCGAGGCTGTGGTGCTGTCCAGCCGACACAGCGACGACGCGCTGGGCAGCCAAAGCCTCGACCTTCTTTGGCTGCCACTGGTGCTGCTGATCGCCGTGGCCCAGCTGGCCCCAGCCTCCATGGCCCCAGCTCCAGACGCCGCCGTCGGCGGTGATGGCGAGGCTGTGGAAGCTTCCAGCCGACACAGCGACGACGCGCTGGCCAGCAAAGGCCTCGATCTTCTTGGGCAGCAGCTGGGCCTGCCCGTCGCCGTGGCCCAGCCGGCCCCCACCTCCCCAGCCCCAGCTCCAGACAGCGCCGTCGGCGGCGAGGGCGAGGTTGTGCAGACCTCCCGCCGACACAGCGACGACGCGCTGGCCCGCCAACGCCTCCACCTTCTTCGGCAGCAGCTGGCTTTGCCTGTCGCCGTGGCCCAACTCGCCCTCCTCTCCATGGCCCCAGCTCCAGAGGCTGCCATCGGCGGTGAGGGCGAGGCTGTGGTACAGCCCAGCCGACACGGCGTTAACGCGCCGCCCCGCAAAGGCCTCGATCTTCTTGGGGAGCAGCTGGCGCTGCTCGTCGCCGTGGCCTAGCAGGCCGTGTCCTCCATCGCCCCAGCTCCAGACGGCCCCGCCGGCAGTGAGGGCGACGCTGTGGTTGACTCCTGCCGCCACGCTCACGGCGCGCTCGCCGCCCAGCGCCGACGGGAGGCGGGTCGGTGTGTGGAGCCGCGTCACGCCCTCGCCGTGGCCGAGTAGCCCTGGAGAGTAGGACGGCGCAGAGCCGCACGACGAGAGCCGCCCCTCGCCGTCGATGAAAACGCTGTGCCGCTCGCCTGCCGACGCCCTCGCCGGCGGGTTGGACTCGCACAGCAACGCCGCAAAGCACAGCCACCGCACGGCGCAGCTCTCGCCCTCTGGCTGCGCCGGCAGCTCGAAGCCGCGCTCTTGCGCCCACAGGCGGATGCCCTCCACCGCAAGCGAGGCGTAGAAGAGCAGCGAGACGGCCGCGACGCGAGCGATGTCGGCGGGGTCGCAGCGAGAGAGGGCGCGCACGAGGAGGTCCGTGGGGAGGTCGAGGAGGCGGGCGGGCGGCGGCGTATCTGGCGAGGGAGCGGCTGTGGCGGCGGAGGCGAGGCGGCGCGAGCGGCGGCGTGGCGGGGTGGACATCGCGAGAAAAAGAATTTTCCCTTACCGGGTTAGCTCCCTCGCACGACACTTCGCCCCGCGACGGTGCGACTGAGCCTGCCGCGCTCGATCTGGGAGCCACTCGGCGCCAGTTCGAGCGGCGGTCGGCTCGGCCACAGCGGGTGCGACGCATGATAGAGCATGCTGGGCGCCGCATCGTGTACTACCGACCCACGCCAAGGCGCGGGGCGGTGGTGCTCGCCGGCGCTCGCGGTGCTTCGGTGCTCGAGCGCGCTCAACATTGTGGTCGTTCAGGGCGGCTCGCACAGCGCCCGCAGGCACACACACACACACACACACACACACACACACACAAGGCTCCGCGGCGCATTCAGCGCTGCCATCGGCGTGGCGTGCTGCTTTTTGGCCGCGCGGCGCAGCTCCACCACCCACTGGAGCCAAGCCTGCCACTCCTTCCTCCTCGGCCTGGGGACTTGCTTCCTCACGGCTGGCCTCGCTTTTCTCTTCTTCTCTCTGCCGTCCTATCGCGGCCACATGCCAGATAGGCTGCGTCCGCTCCCCTTTTTCGTACCCTGTCCTGACACTGGTTGCTGGCTGAGGCAGTGGGAGGCGTCGCTCCGGGCCATGCAGCGTGGCAGCACAGTCTCATTCAAGCCGTCTGCAGCGCGCTGGCGGGCTTTCCGCGAGGCTCAGTATGGCCTCCACGGCCGGTCCACCCGATACGCTCTGCATTGGCTCGGCCTGTGCGAGGCTGCCGTGGGCACAGCCGCCGCGCTCCTCGGTCTCTGCTTTGGAGCATTCAACGCGTGGGTCTTCTGCATCAGTCGGCGCGCCAGGTGGCTCTGCAGTCACGAGAGCATCATGCCCTTTGCGTTGACAATGCTCGCCCCCTTTGCCGCCTCTCTCCCCGTCTACGCCCGCCTGTGCTGGTTGTGGCTGTGCTTTTGGAACGCGCGGGAGGAGGAGCCACCGAGCATTGCAATTCACAGAGGGGCGAAGAAGGACGCCGGCGTACCAACCCTCCTATTTCGCCACCTGCTGGTCCGTGTCAATGCAGAGGCGGCGGTGCTGCAAGAGGATGACGGCCCTGTGCTTGGCCTTGATGTTCACGGGGTAGACGGCATCTTTGAGACGATTGCGCGCGTGCTCCCGCGCGGGTTGCACCGCGTGCACGTGCCTCTCGACGCCGACTTCGACGCTGGCACCCTGTCGCGAAGCGGCTTCACGCTGCTCCAAGAGGCGAGAGATTAGAATAGAGATACATGACCACCCTGCACACTCACGAACTTTGTTCGAGGACGAAACTCGCTTGGGCGCTGCTTGAGGGCGCGCTGCCGGTGCGAAGAACTGTCCCTCGGCTCAGTCTCCGTCATAGTTTCTTATCTAACCGAGCAGCGCGCTCCCTCCTCGCAAAGACACAATCCAAGCCCACATCACAACCTCTCACACACAAACGCACAGCGCGACAGATCTCGTGTGAGAGAGCACACACGTCGTGTCACCACGTATGTGAGTGAGTGTGTGTCACGCACGCAAAAGAGCACACAACGAAGACGGAGGGGAACAAATCGATCTCGCACGCGGCGCGGCGTCCCTCCGCGCACACACAGAAACCAGTGGAGGACGGACTCACACGACACCACCGACGGCGCCAGCCCAGACTCACAAGTAACACCACAGCACCACTCACTCACTCACTCCTCCACAGTCACAACATGCGAAGATGTCGGTCTCTCTCACCAAAATCCACCAAGAGCGCCCCGTCGCGCTACCTAGATACTCAGATGGTCTCACTGCAGTAGGTTAGACCAGCACCGCGCGAGCGCGCGCAAAGGCGCCCGTCCTGACCGCGAGCAGGGCGGCGAGGCCGAGGGCCGTTGCGGCGACGCTCGCTCCACGGACTGAGGGTGCCGCACCTGGAGGCTCTGCGCGAAGGAACTTGAAGAAGAAGAAGTCCATGCCCGGTGGAGGTAGGGACGGAGGGGGCGGAGGCTTATGCATGATCTCCCACTCGATTTGTGCCTCAACCAGGGTATCGTCAAACTCATCACTTGCAACATAGACGTGGTTCTCTAGCGCCGCCGCGACGTCGAGCCCTCGTTTGCCGTGCATTGGCTGAGCACGGGGCGTGCCTCCGCTGTCGTCGCTGTACGGTTTCGGAGCCACTGAGGCAACAGGCAGAGCCACCACCGCAAGGAGGAGGGAGCGGGCGAGCATCTGTGTGTGTCCGCGTCGTTTGACAGTAGAGCTCGGCGGGCGAAAACTGCACCTAGAGTTGCATCCTTCCATGGACCATGGAAAGGCCGAACCGGGGTGGAATTTCTCTTTCCCCCGAGGTTCGAAAGTGTTAGGTACTTGTCGTCCCTCCCCAACCCTGCTCGGCCGAGCGCTACGAGCGCTACGATTGGAGCGTCGGTCGGTCGGTCGTTCGGTACAGTGGGTTGCTACTTACTGACTGTCGTCCATCATCACCCTTCTCGTGGGCGTCCTCGCGCCACCGCAAAAAAAGGATGAGACGCTCGCTTTCGATCCATTCGTTCCAGCCCCGTCTCGGAGCTCAGCGTCCACAGAAAGAGACGGCAAGCAAGTAAACGGCCTCCGCGCTCCGGCGTGTCCGGCTCCGGGGCGCGGGGGGGTTTTGCTTATTTGGTGGCAGCAGCTTGTCCGGCTGGCTGGGCCACAGCCCGCTCGCACAATCAGCTGCTGCCCAAGGAAGGTCGAGACCTTGGGGTGGGCCAGCGCGTCGTCCCACTGTCTCGGCCCGGAAGAAACATGCACAATCATCCTCGCAATAAAACTCTGCCCCCGACAAGTAGGTACGGGGCTCTGTGCGGTGGGCCGGGCGTCTAGTAATAGTATTCAATAGTAATTCAATAGACCCGCCCCTCTCGCAATCGGCGCAGCGCGCTCCCCGCCCGGCGCACACGCTTACACGGCGGTCTCTCGCGTACAGACGCCCCCTCGTTGGCAAATGTGAAAGGACATCACACCGCCGAGACATCACCGACCTCCCCCTCCAGCTCGGCGACGAGCTGGGACAATCGCTCGAGCACGCCCAGCGCCACCTGCAGGTGCGTGAAGGCGACGGCGGCGCCGCCGCCGCTTGCCGCCACCCCGCCGCCCTCGCCACGCCTCTCTTCCTCGCGCGCCGCCGCCCACGCCGCATCCATCTCGTGCCGCATCCTCGCCTCCAGCGGCTTCAAGGTCTCGCGCCGCAGCGCCGCCGCCGCCGCCAGCTCGAGGCCGGGCGAGCCGCCCCCTAACGGATGCACGAATGAGTCAATTGATTAGGCCGTCGAACCGCCCCCCTACCGCACCGCAGGACCCTCCTGACGAGGAGCCGCCACCACCGCCGCCGCCTCCTCCGCCGCCGCCTCCGCCG